GAAATAATAATAATTTCCTGCTCCTGAAGGCCGCGCGCGCTGAGGTTACACCAGCAACTCTCATTTGCACGCACATAAAGTCATCTCCATTTGATGCCTGGCCTCCAACACGCGCGGTTAGTCAGAGAGCCGCTCACGCCGGCTTCAGAGAGCAGAGTGAAAATTTGCTGCTGATGACAGATCGTCTGAAATGAAAGTGCTTCTTTTTTCTTTTTTTTTACACCCTCTCTCTCGTGCTTTTTCTGCTCTCCTCAAATTCCCCCCCCCTCCCAGTGTGTGCATCACTCAGTGAGTTCAGCCTCCACGGAAACGGGCAGGCGGTCGGAACGCTGCCATTTCACAGCCCTAATTAATACCAAACTCTGCACCCTTCACAAATTATAGCGCGCACCACACAGGGTTGGCTCGAGACAAGTCTGCAGGCACCAATAAAAAGGTTCCCTTCATGGCCACATTAAAAAACAGGGCGGTCGGTCAGACTTAGCTCATAATTGATTACCGTTGGCCATCAGCTCCGAGTGTGTGAGCGGTGTGTTATTTGCGAAGGGGTCGGGGAAGGAGAGCTTGGGATGATCCAAGGAAAATCAGGAGAGCTTTTTGGGTGGAGGTTGAAGTGGGGTGAGGAGGGGGGGGAGGGGGTGGGGGGGCGGCACCCCGCGGTGCCCCCGTTGGCCGTGGTCCGCAGCCAGTGCAGCCGTAGGTAACTCTGGAGCCAAGGTGGAGTGAGAAAGGAAGGGAGGAAACTCGGAGAGAAACCATGAAAAATGTGGAGCATGAAAATGTCTCCCTTGGTTTATGGCAGCGCAGCTTGGCTTCCAAGAGAAACACATCTTTAAATTTAACTTGAGATGTCTTTTTTCTCTCTCTCTCTCTCTCTCTCTCTCTCTCTCTCCCTCCACTCCCAACTGCTGGCAAGGGCCCGGTGCAGAAAGTGAGGCCAAGACGCTTGGAAACTGCAACCATGTTAAAAAAACACTCAATAATGTGGCTTTTTGGAAAAGTGGCGACAGCTTCTGTACGAGAGGCTCAGTTTTCAACGTTGGTGAACATGTTTGGTGCATGTGCAGCTTCTGAACAGTCCTCAGTGTAAACGCTCAGAAGAACACTTACACGCTGGAGGTACTGAAGGTACTGGAGGGTTTATATGAAGCATATAGATTGTTTTGCTGCAGTACATTAAACGTGACCTCTGTTGGCACCGTGGTCTTCAACGTGCATCTGGCTGTTTCTCCATTGCGACATTCAGACACACTCTCTTTGCAGAATAAAAGGCCGTAAATAAAAGACATGATACTGGTAATTCCAGAGAAAGGGATTAAAATGATGGGGCGGATGGAAACAGCTATCAAATTAAAGCTTTGTACCATGTAATAATATTTTTGCGAGCCTCGAGGGGAAGTCCGCTCTCATGCCGATGATTCAGAGGTCATTTAGGAAAAGAGCATCCAGCCGATCTCATAAATCAGCATTTGATGGAACAAACATACCTCTGCAGGGAAACAGAGCTATCCATGGAGCAAAAAGGCTCCGTGGATGATGAACGCATTGCAATGTGACGTTAACACCTTTCAGGCGCTGCCATTGAACAGTTCACGACCCAAAAAGTTCAAAACCTTAATGTCACGGAGCTGCGTCTGTCCGGCTCCTAGTGTCGTAACACCACCAATGGCCTCCCAGTTAGGTGGAACTTGATTGCTGACATTAAGTCTTGGAGGAGTGAAACAAGGGGTCTTCAGTTGGTTGCAATCTCCAAACCAGAGAGAATGACACAAACTCAAAAAATTATCCTGTACTTTTACAGATCGCATGACTTTTGCTTGTAACTCCATTATGTCGAAGTTACCTAAGTAGATGATACGCACTTTCTCCTCTCCACAAAAGTGAATTCACAATAATAGTCTCGCAATGTCCGTCACCATCAGCATCATCATGACAATAACTGACATTATCATCGCTGTCATCTTCCAAAAGAGGAAGGAGCAGAATTTCTTAACTCAACTTCCATCTTTCTGCACACCACAGTTTCTCAAGCAGTGGTTGAGTGATCTTGTAGCTTTGTTCCCCCCTATTCCTTCAGCGGGGGGGGGGGGGGGGGGGCTGCAGACTCAAAGGTCTTTCCCCTGATGCATTATGCCAACGGCGGAGAGACCTCCATCAGCCTATCAAACGAGCTGAGACGACGCCTCAAAGCGCCGGAGACGTCACGGCGTTTCAGCGCGTTAATCCCGCTGCAGACAGAAGCCCCCCCCCCCCCATCTTCTTGTGCTCAGAGCTAATTTGTTTAACACAGTTACTTTTTCAAAGCGTTAAGTTTTGGCGAAATCTGCGAGGCTGGTTTGTTTTATGGGTTGCCCGGTCCTGGGTTGCCAAGAGGGACATAGAGGACAGCTCTTAAAGGGAGGGGGGAAAAGCTGACATCAAATACAGGCCAGATGGACTTTCTCCTGTCCTGCTCATAAAGTTCTTAGGACAGTTCACAAATCAAGGCCTCGGTATTATGTTCAGCGTTTGGCCTGTTATTGTTATTGTACATTTGCAAATACTAATGTAATTTATAGCTTTTCAAGCATAATTTGAGACTCGACCCACCCAGACCTTTAATACGTGAGCGTTTAACACTTAATATTGCGTTGATAAAGTGCCCAGTGCTTTTACTGCCTTCCATGGAAACTGGCCATCATAACTCTGACAACTTTTCAGCGTGAATTAAAAAGATTAAGACGAGTGCCGTCCACTCAATCGCGAGCTAGTTTATGAGAGGACTGTGATTGAGCGTGGAGGTAAAATAACTCAAAAAAAGGAGCAGCCTGTGACCAGCAGGTATTACTGTGCAGCCGGCCCGGCAGAACGGGGAATATGAAAAGTGAAATTCAAGATGCGAAGCTAAAACGGAAAACTGCAGCTCTCTGGGGCCCGTGGTCTTTCCGGAGGAGAGGAAAGTGGACCCCACGGAGGAGCGGGTTCGTGGTGTTCCAGGTTTTTGGGTCACTCACTATGATGTTGCTGCTAACATGACAACAAGAAGGCTCTGGGTTTCCCGGCGGAGATAAAATGCAACGAAAAGGAGCAGGGTTTTATTCACCATCACATTAACCTTGATGTCAAGCTTCTTTCACGTTATTTAATGTTGATGCGAGAAATTACATTATTTCGTAGTTGAGCACCGTCATGAGTAAGTTACTCATGTGCAGATTTGAGGCACTTATCGTGGTGTGGTATTGTTGCTTAAACCCTAATGTTGATGTAAAAGTACTAAAAGTATTAGCATTCATTTGTACTGAAATAAAAGTACTCAGAATGAGGAACGACACATATTAAAAAAGTGGAACATAAAATGATACGTCTGCCAAACTGCTGCTCGTGAGGTGGGGCCAATTCAACTCAAACGATGATAATAATTCAGATTTAATTAGCTGATTTTTTTTTAAACTTATTATCTGAATATGCAGAGAAACACTATAAAATATAAAACAATTGCTGTGCAGTAAAAATACTAGTGGAGTAAAAGTAAAGTATAGAAAATGGACTCAAGTCAATTGAAATGATCTAAAGAGTACTGAAGTACATTCATAGCACGTCTGTGTATGTACATTAACTATTCAACACTATGACCATCAATGAAAATAGAGTCACGTCCTGGGTTTTTGTGCATTCGGCTTGGGGATCATTTTATATTAAAAACTTTGCCTTTATTATTAATTGACTCACATTTGTGGGCCAATAGAGAAAAAAGTAATCTGAACGTTTTTGAGGTGACGTCTTTGATCATAACATTTGAAACGTAAAGTTGATGAATTGTACTCAACTACATTACATTAAATAACTTAAATTAATTTAGTCAAAATGATCTAATGTACATTTTTGTCAGTATGTGTTCCGCCCAGCTGTGCCGACACAATCAGCTCTGCATGATTGCATTTCACTTTTTAGCACATTTTGTTACATTTGTAACATAAAGTGAACATTTGAATGCACCACACTTGTAATAGTTGTCACAGTATATTATCTCTATACTTTTACTTTTAGTGGATCTGCAGACTTCTTCACCGTGGTGTTAAGACTGATTTTTGGTTGATTATTTTAGCTGAAATTAAATTAAATTCTCATGTTATTGCAACAGCAATGCTACATTTGGGACATTTTTATAAGAATTTAAGAGACTGGGACGTTAGTAAGTTAGCTTAAAAACACAGGCCTTATGAAATGGAATTACTAGACTTTAATAGACACGTAAAGGGAGTGAGCGTGTCATGACATCACGCCGTTAAAACAACGTTAAACAGGTCTGACAGAGCTGCGCATGCGCAAGGTTTGGGCCTCTGCTGCGCCAGCAACGAGGATTCACTCCCATCTCATAGAGCTTGACAGTGGTGATAAGACTGATTGGGAAATTAGATTTCGACACTACGCTGTCCTTTCACGTCGGTCTTTAGTTGTTCGTCACAATAAAAAGAAGCAGGTCGGAGGACTCCGGTCAGTAGAAGGGGGGGTTATGAGAAGCACTTGATTGTATCTGCGTCTGGATACATAAAATATTCTCACCCGGGTCGCCGCTGCTATCTGGAGCCAGTCAATGTATACAAACTATAAATTATTCTGCCCTCGCTTTCTACAAGCAACAAGCTCAGAAGGAATTTGGTTCATTGAGTTAATGTGTTTATACAAGGAGAAGATGTTTACATTCATCATGGCAGAATGATTTGGTCCCCTCAACCTTTTAGAGTGTCCGTTGGAACACTCCGTTTTTTCACGATTTAATTGTAATCAATTAATTCCTTTTAAACTGTTATGCATATTAATGTGCGTGCAACTGTTTTTTATTTTGCTTAGGGTTTGGGTTTTCCCAAAAATAAAATATTAATACAATCAATTAAGCCAAAGGAAAACATTCTTAAAACCAAAATTAAAACTGAGTGGGCTGAGAACTAATAATTGTGTGTCTTCCGATAGCTTGTTAATTCCCTCAACTAAATAATAAAAATACAACTAATAATTCGTAATCCAATTTTTTTTAAGTAAGAAACATTTTATTTACAATATTTTTCAGTGCAAAATATTATTAACAAAATAGCACAACCATATATCCAGACAAAACAAGTAATACATGAACACTGCTGTTATGTCCCGACATTTGATTCGTCACGTGAAACGAGTGGTTCTTAAGCTAAAAACGTAATTCACAACCGCATTCTTTCCTTCGGATGAGGAAACATGACGCACACAAAGCTCTTGACAGGATAACGACAGTAAGGAGGCCCTGGAGGTGGCCAGAAGTCCACTTGTGTATTTTTAAATAATTATAAAATTAACCTATTTATTTTCACCTTGTTTGTTGTGTCCGGGTTAAAACAAAGCGCCATACTGAACAAATAATCGGGCCGATCGTCTGGTTGCTCCACTTGTTCCCAGGAATTAGACAGGTGCGGGACTGTTTTGTTTTTTTTTACGTCGCAAACGTCGCATAGTGTTACTTAACCGACGCTCCAGGTGCATTTAAACATCACCGTCGTTCTTCTATCAAAAAAAAAAAAAAGCTTGAAACCAAAACCCGCATTGTTCTTTCACTTCAGGCCTCATATCGGCATCTGAGAGGCCTCCGCGGCCGCCTCCTCCGCGCTGCTCGCCGGCCCGCTGCCGCCGCTCGTGATCACGCTGGTTTGGTTGGTTTGCTCGGCAATGTCCACGTGTCCGTCCGAGTTGTCCTCGGGAGCCTCGTCGGACTCGCACTCGCTGCGCCCCTCGCTCTCGCACTCGGACTCCTCGGCCGGCTCCTTGTGCTCCCTGCCGGCGGACTCGGACGCGCCCTTGTCCGGCTGCTCCTTGTCCTTGTCCTTCTGAGCCTGCGCCTCTTTGGAGTGTCTCCACTTCATGCGCCTGTTCTGGAACCAGACTTTCACCTGAAAGCACACGGAGACACGGTTGGGCCAGACTGTCCCTGTGTGCGATTCAGTCACACGCAAACTGCAGCGTGTTTGCACAGTCTCACTTATTTGCTTCCCTAATATTTTCCTTGAGTTACCAGATGAAACTTGAGCAGAATCTTATTAAGAAGAAAGGAGTCATTGTGGGGAATATAATTTAGAAACTATAAATTCATAATCACGTTATTTAATATCTGTGTGAGGAAAAAATAAGTTGCGTTAATTTCCCAATATCTTTTACACTTAACACACAACAACCTCTTTTGACTTTAAGTGTGATGAAATCTATACACCAACGGTTTTAAATAGAGATGACATTTCTCTAGAAAATTACTCAGTTTGCCAACTGTGTTTTGTCAATCATTCTTAATTCCTTTTTAAATGTAATATTATTTCGTGCTGAGTTGAAAAGGGCCGTAAATTGCAAACATCACAACCTATCAATCCTTCAAGTTTATGCATGATTGAATCTGTGAATCGGCCCCTTCAAATATGGAAGCACATTCAAATTTCATTAGCTTTTCAGTGTCAGAGCCACATAGGACACACGGGTCATTGTTCACCGCAGGTTCTTGGGGAATTTGTAGTTTCAGCAGCCTGTGGCTAACCTCACGCATGGTGGCTGTGTTATAGGCCCTGTCAAGTATTTATAAAACCTGTAAAGGTTGAGACGGCAACATTTAAATCTGGCATGTCGGGGAGGCACGAAAATATAGTTTATAAACAAAGGAATTATTAAATCCAAACTGCTATAACTTGAACCGTTCATATTTTACCACGGGGGACTAATGGCGATCAAGACCTTTGCAGTAATTTATTAAATAAGTCAGACTTTGGCCCTTCGGCCCTGTTTTGCCCATAACTGCTCTTCGGGAAGTTTAAAGAAAATACACGTAATTAAAATGTAGCGCTATTACAGTACATAACACAGCAGCAACATGCGGTTGGCATCCCACAATAAAATGGCAGTAAAAACCAACACATACAAAACCTTGAAATATAACAATTTAAATGACTCAACAGGTCAAATGAAATAACAGTAATCTAAAGGATGCTTATTTATGTTGAAGGCCCATCTTCACCAACCTCTTTGGCAGTTTCTTGATACCTTTTTTTTGGTCTTGATAGTACTAAAGATAATAAACCTTGAATAAATCATTAATCATGATCTAAACACAAGATGCCGCGAGAAAGGTCCCGTTTGGTCAGCTGCTTCTTACCTGAGCGTCTGTCAGTCCGAGCATAGCAGCCAGTTGCTTTCTGTCCGGCTTGGTGACATATTTCTGTATCTCAAATCTCTTCTCCAGTCCTTTCCTCTGCAAGTTCGAAAACACTGCCCTCGACCACGACCTTTTCCTCTTGTACGTCTGTGGCATCGTGTCCTTAGTGAGGACGGCATACGGACCTATAAGACACGGGGGGGAGGGGGGGACACACGAGGTTGAAGAGAACAGAAACCAACGGAACATTCGCTGCAGGTGTTTTTTGACGCCTTGAAACATAAGAGCTGGACCAGTTTTGCCGTCTGTCACAGTCCTACATGTGGTGACTACCTGGGAAGGTGTCCTGAAACTGATGCTGGCCTGAATGCCTGCTGCTGCTGCTGCCTAGTGAACTCATCATGGAGGACCCGTCGCTCATCCCGGGGTCTATGCAGGAGAAGTACTGGCTGGCCGGAGGCTGATTGGGGACGTGGATCCCTGACTGACGGTTCGAGCTAACGATGGATGTGAGATCTGTTACAGAAGCGAGAGATGATGGGCTTCAGTAAGGAAAACAATGAGTCACACCGGCAAACTGAGGAGGGGGAGAGTGAGGGGGGGGGCAAGATGGTCTAGTACTAAGAGGGACCATCAGACAGAGTGCAAGCCTCGGTTCAGGTGTGGCTGCTAAAGTGTTTGTGCGCAAACTTCCACTTGTTTTGTGGCTGATCGTGACCTCTGACCTCTCTGGTGAGGGGGCAGGAGGGCAGAGGGATTTCCCCACTGGGCTCTTAAAAGTGCATGTTGCCAGGCTGTTTGGGCTCTAACTACTCCGTGAACAAGTCTGCCATTAGCTGGTTCTGACTTTAGAATGTGTGCTTCCAGTTTGTTGTCTTTAAAGTGTGTACGTGATTTTGTGTCGTGGTAAAAAAAAAAAAAAAAAAAAACCATAAACAATTCTCATTGTTTTCTTTAGCTGGCATGACAGAAAGCCTCGCAGGAGTCCACATGTCTACTCTGAAAGTCCGCGCGTATACCAAAAATCTCTTTCCTCACCTCTTAATGACGACTTCTCCTTTCCTCTCTGGTCAAAGTCCGTCGACAATATCCGATCGATTCCGAATTTCAGGTCCTTGCTCGACGGCGGGGGGGCTTGCTGAGAGCTGAACGCAGTTCTGGAGACCGATGTCAGCTGTAGTCCATGTCTGTTGTACGGAGACGCCGGACTCACCCTCGCGCCGTACGGCTCGGCCGCCACGGGAGAAGGGCGCAGCGGCGAGCTGCCGTGCTGCGCGCGGTGGTGGTGGTGCTGCTGCTGCTGCTGCTGCTGGTGGTGGTGGTGGTGGTGTCCCATGTGCACCATGAGCGCGGACGATCCCGGGACGCTCTCCGCATCTCCTGCTTGCAAAATGTCTGCGATGCAAAAGGAGGGTTTCTTCATCGTATCCACAGCGAAGCCCCCCGCGCAGTACGCGGACCAGAGGCTGAAGTTGGACGCGTAAAACGGGTTGAGCCCGGCCGTGTACATCCCGGAGCCTCTAGCGCGCCTGATCGTTTCTCAGAAGAAGGTACAAACGGACAGGCATGCAAAAAAAAGAGAAAGAAAGAAAGAAAAACGAGGCAGGTACGGCGGGTTAGAGGCGCAGGCGACGGTCTCGGTTGTGTCAGTGTCAAAATCGCTTTCCCGACTCTGGAATCCAAACACTGTGAGTCCACGCTGTGAAGCTCCTGCGCCCAAGCTGATTGGTCGCTTTCCGAGCCAATGGGTGTCTGCGGCCGCTCACATCACGCCCTTCCAAATGAGAACGAACCAACACGCACGCACACACACACACACACACACACACACACACACACACACACACACACACACACACACACAGACAGACACACACTCACCCACGCACTACTCGACCGGGGACAATTCGTATTTTTAAAACCCCGAGATGATGGATTGATCACTTAAAAAGAGCCCCAACAATCACCGCGCCCCAAAGCATTATACCGATTACCTCCTTGTGTGAGTTTTTTTTTCTTTTCTTTGTGGAAATATATTAAACGTTTCTTCCAGGAGCCAATAAACCCAGTGGGACAATTTTTAAGAAACGTGTGTTCAAATGTTACACTTGGCCTGTAAAATAGGACGAATAAATCCAATGGAGAAAAAAAGACATTCCACGATTATAAATCGAATATGAATAATAATAAAAATAATAATAATAATAATAATAATGGACTGTGTGCAAAAAAAAGGTGCAGTCGTTTGACCCCGAGTCCAGGAGAGGCTCTATTAGCGCCACGCATCCTGTTGTTGATGGGCTGTGATTCGTGTTAAATGAGCGGATATTCCTGCTAGATTTGCACCCAAAATAGGACCTGCTTTAGTATTTTAGGATACAGCAGAAATCCTTATTTCTTCCGGAGCAGAGGGGGGGGACTTTTATATAACGACTGTTAGAACTTCCCCTTTTCAATATTTGTGCAACTTTATCTCGACCTGCAAGTTGCACGGTGACGCAAATCCGCCCCCGTGCTCATAATAAACAGAGGAAACCGATTCTCCTCTAAAACCAAAACACAATTAACTTCAGAGGCGACACTTCATCCGCGAGCCCCCCCCTCAAGATTCACACGTGGGGCCCGCGGCCAATAACGTGTTACAACAGAAACACCACCAACGCTGTTACATTTAATAACGACTCCCTTAACGTGAATGCATTTCTCCAATAGGCTTCCAGATGATAATAACATCGGTAATCACAATAGCTTTGTATTATAACCGACCCCTGTCGGTTGAACCCCCCCTTGCTCCCCCCCCCCGGCATGTACTGTCGTGCCTTGATCCCCCCCCCCCCCACCCGCGTTTTTCTTCTCGGCACAGAATTTAAAAACATGTATTAAGGATCTCCGATTTAATAACATTTTAACCTGGTCGGGGTTAGGTATTTTTCTGCCGAACCCCCCCCTTACAGCTTTTTTTTTAAGTACCATTTTCCCCCCCGCCGAAAGGGAAAAGGGGGGGGGGGGGGGGGGTTGTAAAATTAGAAAATAGAGATTTAACGCTCGCCCTCCATCATACAGTCAAAACAATCCAGGGAAGAGGATGTAGCAGGCGCAGCACGCCTCGGAGTTATTTCAGGTGCCGATGAGCTCTTCAGTGGGAAGCGGTTAAAAAACACGGGCCTCAGATCAGCCTTCACGCTCCGGGGCCCCGTGGCTCGATGCGCGGGGCCTTTCTGCTGCAGAGAGCCGGGATGCAAGAGATATATGTGGGCCTGTCATATTACTGTAATGAATTGTGAAGGTGTTCTTTTTACGGTCAAGAAAGGCATGCATTTTTTTTTTTGCAAACAGCGGAGCCTGTGTGTTTTCCTTACACACGTTCACCTTTGAGTGCAAAAAAAGGCACACGCAGGCTCTCACACACACACACACACACACACACACACACACACACACACACACACACAGGCTCCCAGACACATACATCAACGAGAAGAGAGCCCGGACACAAACATTCACTTGTGGCACATGTAACGCACAAAAATGTGATATCTAAATCATCTGTAAAACCTGAAATATGACCTCTTCGGTCTGAGCCCTGTTAGATTCCATTATTCACCTTTATTTCACTTTCATACTACTACAATAATAATACTTCTCCGGTGTCAGGGGGAAACTATACGTTATACACAAAAAGAAAATACAATATTTGCAAATTGTTAAATTAAAGAAAACCTTAGCACTCTAGTGATAACACCCAAAGATGTACATTTCTAGTATTTCACAGACATTAGACAAAAGCATAGTTTAACTCCTGTACCATTTTATTTAATCATCCCCAGGTTGATGATGTGACCTCACATCTGCAGTTTAAGAAATCCAGAACTAAACAACCTGCAGTAAGAAAGAACTACTAACAATGTCAACAATATAAATGTGAAAGAGGGCCTTTTCCTGTAGAATGACTCCTTTTACTTTGCTGATAACACATCTATACTTTTGAATGGAAGACTTTGACTGTTGTGTTGTTCTGCAAGGAAACAGTGTTTAGACCACAACACGTTTGTCGGGAAGACGCGAGCGACAGCTCCGCCTCGCTGTTAAAAGATGACAACGGCGAGCACAAATTCAGCCAGATGCCTGGTGGACGAATGAGCTCTGCTGATTGACTCTGCCGTGCAGCTCACACTAACAACGTGGAAGTGAAAAGTCGAAGCCTTTAGGAGTCACATCCCCCGCTGTGCAGAAAACAAAGCCGCGCTGCTGTGCACCGACGACTACCTGGAGTTCAGAGCATCTGACGGAGCCCATTGTTGTCGGCTGATTGCTCGCTCTGTGTTTTTCAGGAAGCCTTATCGGGCAGAGGGGGGGGGGGGGCGATTGAGACCGAGGCCCGCTGGATCACAGGCCGCAGGACAGAATTAAATGATTTCCATTATTACGCTGAGAATTATTGCTCCCCCTTCGTGAGGTTCCTGCTCCAAGCCAAGATTACTATTTCTGGCAATGTTTGCCTCAGGAAGGAACTTTCGCAGATTTAATGGGACCTGGGCCATTGTACACAGCCTTCTGTATGGCAGCCTGCCATCTTCTCCACAGAGAAGGGAAAGAAGAAGTGAGGGATGTGTGTAAAAAGTCAAAACACGACCGTCCCCGTTTATGCGATCTCAAACACAGACACTATACTGATGACAGAAACTTAAATGATTTTAAATTTGCATTTACTAGGTTCAAATGCAAGAGCATCGTCCTGTGTTTTTTGTATGAAACATATCCTGATGTTCTCAACAGTAAAATCACATTAAAGCAGTAAGATACTCCGTTCCTCTATCTCATCTTTGCTCTGGAACAAGTATCTTCTACCTTCTATCTATTTTAATGAAACAATGTAATAAGAAATGAGAATATATGAGTGAGGTGACACTGAAAAGGCTTTATATTCATAATATTGGGAATATATCAGTATGCAAATATCTGTTCAAACTAAGTTCAGTAAAAACTCTAAAAAAACTAAACTAAAACTAAAAAATGTCCTAAAGCTGTGATATAGTGTGTTAAAAGTACAATATTTCCATCTGAAATATGCAAAAGTATAAAACAGCATATAATAGAATGTATAAGTAAAGTATACCGACTTAGCCAGCTCTTGTTTCAGCTTATGCAGTTTTAAATGTATGTTTTTCTCTGTGGATGTCCAGAATTCATAAAACATTAAAGGTGGCGTAAAGGCAGTAAACGTACAAGCAGCTCCCCCCAGTGACAACACGGTTCCTCTCGCCTGGTTTCTACCGGCAGTTTTCCTTTTGATTGCAACAATCTAAAAAAAAAAGTAATTTAATAACATAAATTACACAATTTAAAACACATAAGTGGAGAGATAAACATACATTTTGTAAGTTTGAAACTGAGACGTAGATATGAAAAGATAAATACACTTATAATATTAGCGTCCATTCTGCACAGACATGGATTACAGTATGTTACTAAATTAAATTTATATGAAATGTGGGATGATTTCACACTTAACTTGTTCAATTTAAACAATGGAAAAAGTCAAAGAGGCACATGTCAAAACAATAACTGCAATAACAATAACAGTTTGTATGTGTTTTAGTGCATTGGAAAGTAAATATTATGAACCATTAAAGCTCAATTGACAATAAAAAAGTGTAATATGGCATAAAATTAAGAAGAATAAAACCTCACAATTGTTACTTAAATTCCACCACTGCTTTTGTTTCTGTTCATGTTGAATGACTGAAGCAGCTGCAGACAGAAAAATAGTCACTGACGTTGAACAAATGCTTTTGGTTTCAACAAAATGCCTTTAGAATACATTCTACAATGAAAGGTTTTAATATGTGGTTTTTATTGAGTTGCCTGGTGCTCAATGTGAATGTATAAAAACACAGGAGGCGATTTGGAAAAGCTCGGTGGCACATTAATGACTTTAAAGGACTATTTTAGGCCAGTGTTGTGTGTATTTTCCCTGCCGGTTTAATTTGACTTCTACCCCAATGCAGTTTTGGATGCAGCTACTCTTCATATTCAGATTAACATCACCAAATATAATCAAATTATAAATTATAACACATTATTATGAGAAGTAACTATCCGAAAAATGGCCCATTCTGCGAAACGAGTGCTCTTTAAGTAGGGCTGATATACTTTTACACCGTCGCTCACTCAACTGCACAAATAGGTCCTCCGTCGCAGGCGGATGCATTAAACCGATGACAGCGGTGATTTGCCGCCCTGGGTCGCCTTTTGTGGCAGCGTGCTTTAAGCTCTCGTCTAGTCCGAGTTTAAAACATGAAGTGGTCATTAGGCGGACACCGGAGTGGTAGACTAATCACACTCACCCCGGCCTGCCCCCCCCCCGTAAACACCCCCAAGGAGCGGCTTTAATGGAAGCTTTTAAATACCATGGTGACTCCACGTGTTTATATAAATGCAGATTAAAATCTCTCTCTATATATATATATTTAAAAAGGTGCAGTCGTTTGACCCCGAGTCATATATATATATATATATATATATATATATATATATATATATATATATATATATATATATATATATATATATATATGCCTGCATATTCCCTACAGTAACACCCTACGATGTCAACTAAAATGAAATGAGTCCCTTTAAGAAAAGGTACATATTCAACTCACATGGTTATATATATACAAATTCTATCACATATTCACGGACTATCTTAGACCAACGTGTGATGACTTCACTGTGCGTTTTGCCGCACGAGAGCTGCGCGTCATTTCATGTCGGCGAGTGCTGCCATCTAGCGGCCGTGTCATGCGTTGCGGCGCCACACGATGCGCGTGTGTGCGTTGGAGCGCGCACGTTGATTATAAAGCAGTAAAAAAACAATACATACAAAATCAATTAACAATGACTCACAGTGGTTCTCTTCTATACAGCCAACAACCACTGACTATTCAAGTTAAATTATTCCAACGTGCCACATGTAGGTCTAACCACTTATTTTATTTTATTCTAACCTCGTCGGCAATGAATGTACAATTTGTACCGACTTATCATAGAAGAAAATATTCATCTATTGTTGTTTCAAAGTCAAGTTATTTTCACTTGGGTTTAGTTTATCTGCAATGACATCACCTTCTTAATGGTGCATTTGGTCAATTAACACATTTTCTTTCACTCTGCTCCGGGAGCTGGACAGAAGTTGTGTTTTTAGATCTCAGGGGATTCCTGTTTTCGACCTTTGACCTCCATTAAACCACAAGACCGGTCTTCAGGGAGGAAGTTGGGTTGACTCAGGAAGTGAAGGCAGGTGTCAGCTGTGTTGGACCGCTGACACTTGACCCCAAACTGGCTGCGAAAAAAACTGAACAACTGAAATCCTTCATTTCATCAGAGCCAGCGGGGCTGTTAGGAAAAGGAACCGCGTTATTTCAAGTTAGAAATAAGGCATGTTAAAAAAAAAAAATGTTTTTCACTGCACGCTTTCAATTTTGGTCTGTCCAAACTATTGAGAAGCAAACAGCTACTTTCATTCATTAGTTAATTTGTTCATGTCATCATTTTTTTCTATTAGTATGACACTACAAAGTAAAAATCAAAAGGAGCAAATTTTCCCATTCCCGAGAATATGGGCAACAACATAAATTACAATATTTTAAAATTACTTTTCAGTGGAGCAAATAATGCACACACACACTATCATAGGGAATTATACAGCACAAAGAATAATTTCAGACTTTGTAGCTTGTTTGAGAAGTGTATTTTCTTTTAATCCCTCTTTTTGTCATTACATTACATCCCATTCATCAAGTCACTGTAGTATTCTGAAGACCAACAAAGACCCGAGTGAAAAAGCTAATGCACCATTTAATGTCATAAGGGTCATTTCATGACCATTCCCTTTTTTCTTAGTGCACACGACAGCCCTAAACTACCAAAAAGAGCATTTACAGAAGCAGGTGTAAAATCACTTGGTTTAGGAGATTAGACGCTTCGATAAGGTCCATCAGTAAAAACAAGACTAAGATCAGCAAATATACACACGGTTCTTTTTAAAACTGCATTTTTGTACACATCGTATTTTTAACTGCACTCAGATTAAGGAGATGACGGGGAAGCTTGATTACAAAAGTAAATGAGTTACGGTAAGACCGGCTTCTGTTGGCATTACTTTGGCAAATAAATCAACATTAAAAAAAAAAATTAAAACCCATTCTTAAAAAACAAAATCATCACAAACAACGTGCTGATTCATGAAAATCGGAATAAATCTTCAAATGTGCTTTAGAAAAAAAGAGCCAGTTCAAGTGGTTTGTTTAAGGATAAAATGACACTATCTTAAAGTACGAACTCTGCATAGACCGACGTGTGCGGACATCTACAGTACGACCAGCACCCGAGGAAAGATCAAGCCCGGTGGAGCAGTGGTTCTCCTGCATCGACTTAAGATTTAAAAAGTCTATGAGAGGGTCGAATCCTGTTAGAACGCGTTCTATTTTCATTACATTTTCAATGAATTGAATTCACTGCCTAAAAAGAGACCCTGTATTATAATACAGAAGCATCTTCGGACTGGCCCCTCTGTTCCCCCGAAGGAACATTTGAACAAATATGGGACTTTTTAGTCATACGTACATACAAGATACTACTTGTGTGCCAAACCATTCCTTTCAAAGGGCTCGCACACTCCCACATATTAAAACATCGAGTCACATGTGACCGTATTAAAAAGAAAAGAAGAAAAAAAGAGACGCTCCTCATGAACGGCTCATTGTCTCTGATGGTCCCGCCTTCAGGCTTTTAGCCCTCGTCGGTGCTCTGCACGCTGCCGTCGCCCAGCAGCCTCTCTCTCTCACCGGGGCCGTCCTCCGGCTCCCCGGCGCTCGCCATCGCGGCGCACCACGGTATCCTGGCCAGCAGGGGGCGGTGCAGCCCGTTGTACAGCGCCGTGCCGGCCAGCAGCACCAGGAAGCCCAGCACCTGCAGGCCCTGGAACCGCTCCCAACCCAGCGCCAGGCTCACCGCCCAGATGACCAGCGTGCGCAGGCTGTCCAGCACCATGCGCGTGGTGGCGCTGATCTCCTTGGTGACGCTGATGCCGGCGAAGTTGAAGAAGGCGATGCTGACCGTGTTCCCCAGCAGCGCCAGCAGGATGAGGGGCTCGTGGCCGATCTGACAGAAGGCGTCGAGCGCGTCCTCCAGCACCTGCCGGGGGTTCCCGCTGAAGGCGCCGACGTGGATGAAGTACATCGGGATGAGAAGCAGCGACAGGACGAAGAAGCCAAAGAAGCCTGGGGATAAGAGCGTGACATGTGACCTGAAGCTTTCCAACGAGTCAAAACAACGTCTGCCCCTTCGCCTGCGCCCAGTTTGTTAACCTTTCTTTATTCGAACCAATACAATTATTTGAAGAGATTTGTTTTCTTTTACTGCTTTCTTCTCCTGTTAACCTCAGCTGTGTGGGAAAAGCTGCAGACTTTTGGCATTTCTTGCATCTAAATGCAGATGAAAAGCTTCCGTACCTTCTGTACCAACAGCCCGGAGAGGGTGGACATCATGTTTGTAGACAAACTTTTCCTCCAGCACCATCTGCACGGAAACAATGACCTGAGCCAGGATGATCAGAAGGTCTCCTGCAGGACAGAAGAGCGGAGTGTAAACAAGTTAAAACGCCGAACCCACTGAAGTACACTTTGCTGTTACCTGGAAGCCCAAAGTCCTCCTCACCTGTGACGATGTCGCTGAGTTTGTGGGTGTCTTCGCTGTGCCCGCTGAAGAAGTCGGCGAGGCCCACTATCACCAGGCCCAGGATGGTGGTGAGGATGCCGACCCACTGGCTGGGCGTCAGGCGGCGCCCCAGGAACGCCACGGACAGCAGACCGGTGAAGATGATGACGGCGCCGCGCAGCATCTGGAAGCTGGAGGCGCTGGTCATGTTGAGAGCTGCAAACGAAACACGAGAGTCAAGTTAGCTCCCCTTTTCACGAAAGAACCGAACGCGACGTCATCTTTGACCTTTTGAAGGAGAGGACGGATCCGGGAAGGCAAAAGGAGGACAAGTCACTCACCGACATACATGATGGAGGTGGCCGTCATGTCACACATGGCGGGCGGGAAGAAGAGGAGCGGGTTTGAAGCTCTGGCCGGGGTTCATCCGGGGTTCCGGGCGTCTTCTGTCGTGGCACACCAAAGAGGTAGAAGACTGCGATGCAGCTGATCTCGCCCAGGAACATGCCCACCGCCTGCACAGGTAGGACGGGACCCGGACGCACCATGTTTTACTTTTTGGAATTAGGGGGGGGGGGGGGGGGGGTAGGAAGCAGTATAATACAATAGATTTCACAGTTCATTACTTTACCTGTACGAACGGGTGAGTGAATGGGTGGTCCGGGTCGTCACGGCAACCCTTCGCAGAGAACATGTCAGCCCATCTGTCGGACAAGAAACCGCCATTGCAACTTTATTATTGATGTTCTACACAACCACATATAGTACATGTATTTAACATGTCATTTAACTGACGCTTTTATCCAAAGCGACTTGCAATAAGTGCATTTTTCAAGAAACAAGAAAGTTGCTAGAGATAAGCGCCGTTTAAAGTACAATTTATGTCCTACAATGGGTCTTGTCTCTGTAAGTCAAGGTAGAGTCTGAAAAGTCAAATAGAAAAGGGTTTGGATCACAGCTGGAGCTGCAAAGACAAGTCGATTAATCAACATTTATTTGCTTATAGCTTCTCAAATGTGATGCTGCCGCTGTCTGTCATGTAGTATAATATTACACACATGTTTGTTGGGAAATGTCGGTCGGACTTCTGATTTCTGGATAAATCAGCTTAGTCTGCGGAAAATTATACGGGACATTTTTCACTATTTCTGACATTGACCACCAATAACTTAATAAGTGTCAAACCGCTAACTGTGCGTTTTTCATTCGTATTACTTGATGTAACTGCTGCCTTTGACCGACAACTAACTCATAAAAAACGAGCGTGACCCAGAGTTCTGTAGAGAAAGAACATTTAGTTTTGCATATTGGACAGTCAGACAAAATGATGTTGGTTGTAAAGTTAATGACTAAACCCACATAACACCCCCCCCCCCCCCCTGGTTTCCGCAATCAGACCAGCAGAGGAAGTGTGACCAGCGCGTGAGCGTCTCATTTAAAAAACGCAAGCGTGACGTGATTTCTTCACAACGCAACCGCGTCGAGAGCTCGTCCAACACAGGAAGGGAACTCGATCCCGAATGTGCCGCGACTGCTCCGGTTCAGGTGTCTCCAACGCGGAAGCTTGAAAGGGAAAGAGGGAAATTTGCACCAAAAAGTATCAGTCCACATGCTGCACCTGACCTCCTGCTGAGGGGGCCCGACTAGGCCCGCGGGTCAGGTGACTGTGGGGGAAACTCAAACCGTTAGTGGCAGATTCTGACGTGACTCAGCTGGCTTTCTCTCGGTGGTTGGAACTCAGACGGTGATTCAGTCAACAGCGTGTGAAGTTTTGTTTAGCGGACAGAAAACCCGCAGGAGGGACAGAGAAGTGGGTCAGAGGGGAGCTGACTTCACAGATTAATGGGGAAGTTTAAAAAAGCTGTCTGCTTGTACTGAAATAGAAAAGCTCTCCCCGACGTGACGATAACGTGAGAGGACTTACGTGTATTAACATTCAAAGTTGCCTTTGGGAAATGTTCTCTACAGCTTCTCAAACTGTAAATTTAACATATTATGACAATAAAAGGGCTCTTTCACTTTCATTCTGACGTTTAAAAGATCGAATGGTTGATCAGTTTTACAAAGAAAAAAAATGAATCGATCTCTGTATTTCTGAGCTGCAGGCCCTTAAATATATGTGGTTTCCTCGCTCTCAGTCAAAGATAAACTAGCAATCACTGGGATTGATCATCAATTAGTTATTATAAATCTTATATTTTAAGATCCAACTTAAATTGCATGTTTTCTTTCTCAGCATTGTCTGCCGTTTGTCTGTCCAAGTGAAAAACGAAAGTAAGGGTCAGCTGCAGATAAACATGTCATCATCTGTCTTCACCTGCGTGCGTTGCACAACCTCCCAAAACACGAGTGTCTGAGTCACAACATCCTCGTTAAACACAGACAGTTAATGTAATATTGTAATGCAATACGGAACAACCAGAGGTCATTTCCCTTTACAGCCACGAGTGGGAAGAGTATCTATAGATGCTATATAATCTATAGATTCAACTATCTCCGTCCTCTCGATCACACTTTCGCCCCTTAACTCTCGATAAGGGTTCGTTTGTTTGTGTTAGCTAACAACACGTTAGCATCTAGCAGCGAACTACGAGTGGGAAACATGCAGGTGACACTCGGTATTAAAACTAAACAAGCTAATTAGCTAATAAAGATGAGAAACACCCATTGGGCATTTGTTCTCCCAGCAGTGAAAATCCCTTTTAACTTCTTAAATAAGCGCACTCACTTTGCGGATAGTGTGTTGAGGGACCCGGTCGTGAGCATAAGTCCCGCCAGGAACAGCTGGTATTTAGTCCACGCCATGCCGGGACAGAGAAGCCACCGAGTCGCCCTTTGCCTGAAGAGACGCGGAATATTATTCCCACAAATGCGTTCTGTGGGAGGCTCCTCGGCCCGCGTGAGTCACGTGACAACTCGCCGCCAGTCAGCTGACCGCCTTGTGCACCGCCTCGCTGCTTCCGAGTGCTGCCGGAAATGGCCCAACAGATTAATAATGACCAAAATAAATCAATGTTTTACTAATTTTATTTAATTATATATTAAATGTTGTTGCTATGTGTAACATGGTTTGTTTTGTCATTGTTTCCCCAGTTTAGATCTACTTAAACACCCGTATTTGTTAAGGGGATCCTTAAAGTAATAAGTGTTAAAGGTTCCCAGGATGAACAGCAGAGGGCGATAAAGACCGGACAGAACTTCTACATCCAAGAAAGTTGGACCAGAGTTCTTTCTCCCTCACGTGGCGTCACATTGCTCAAAATTAAAAAATAATATGCACTCCTTGTTCCACTAGAATGCATAGTGTTAAATATGTCAATTGTAAGCCTTTCAAATCCTGCGTTTTAATAGAATATAACAATCCAGAATAATATGAAATAAATAAATTACTCACTACAAGTAAATGAAGAACTAGAGTTGTGTTGTATTCAGCATCTCAATAATTTAACAACAGAGTTTTGAAATCTTATGACTTGAGTTCATTATTCATTCATTTAGTGCTGGCTGTCCTCTTTTGCTCCGTGAGCCTTCCTCCTGTGTGCAAAGTTGATTTTGACATAATGTTACTATAAAAAGAGAGTTGGTTCACCCTCAATCTTAACTATATTTCTTGTAAACATCTTGATTATTGATAAGTTCACAATTATCAGCAACAAAGGTCACGGCCATGTGTTTTCTAGACCAAACAAAAAAGACAAAAGGGACCCAATGTATCGGTGGGCGGATCGATACCTAAAGCTTAATACTTGGAACTGTTTTAAGTAGGCTATTCAAATAGGGCCCATACTCAAAAACTACACCTCAAGCTTCACAGACCATTAAACACTGTTCTGTGTTTAGATGTGTGATGGACAGAGAATACGAAAAAGAAAAGCCACATTTTTGGCAAATAATTGTAATGAATAAATAGAATGTTTATGATGCACCTCTGAGACCATGGCAGGAGTGCCGGCCTTTGCAAAGTTAAGGGAAGTTGCAATAACAAAAAGAGTCAGTATGTACCTTTTATTGTATTATTTTACAATGATTATAATGTGCCCTTGAAGAATCACAACATCTGTGGCAGTCATGGACATTTTTGCGTGGATGTCACTGTTAAACCTAAGGCCAAAGCAGTGTTCACTAAGAGGCTTTACACTATCTGCCATTATCTATTTACAACAAGAAAGGAATATGTTCACTACAGTTAAAAAGTTTTTAAAAAAAAACTAAAGTGAAGGGATGATTAATGAAATTGCAGTATGCACATATCCACTTTCATTTATCCATTAATTGACTTCAAATTTATGTACCAGTTTCACCTGAAACTGGAGATCAATGCACCTGAGAGCATGAAGATGATCCATTAAAAAGACCTAATAAGGCGGGTTTACTAATGTGAATGTCCCATGATCGGTGAATTGAACAGCCTGCCGACTAAAACCCTGAAGACATCGCAAAGTAATAACAAAAATGAACACCGGGGCTCACATGGACTTATTAGTTGTTTGTTTAGTTTGGTAATTAGGACTTTACCCAAACTATGAATTGAAAACTCACATACTTTTCTAGAATGTTAATATTTCGGTAATTAGGATATCATTCACCACAGTTCTGTGACAGATCAGGGCTCGCAGCAACACGAGGTCAGGAGCCGGAGTTTGTATTTGCCCACAGTAGCACAAGGACACACTCTGCGTGTGAAAACAGCTGGACTGCGGACCCAGCCTTCCCAAACCAAGTCCGCTTAGATATAAATGCTCTTTTATTGACATACAAGGATGGACAACTTCTTCAATTTTTAACAGCAACACATCTTGAAGTCAAACTACAATTAAAAGAAAATACAAATCAGATAAATATCATTGCAATCAGCTTCAGTGGTAAGAAAACTAATTAAAACTCTTAAATGCAGAAAAGAGACGTCCTCACGCTGCAGGCTGCAACCTTTTATTTCAGACCACAACGTTTCTGTTTGCTTTGCAAAAAAGCCAATTCATTTATTTAATATGCTGCGTATGTTAAAATGTGACAAAATCTCTGACGCAGACACGCCTGACCTGCGACCCGCTGTCCCCCCTGTCCACTCGTCTTCCCTGTATTATCCACTGTATCAGCAACACACCATGACAGTAATTGTCGCAGTCGTGATTCTGCATCAGCCTCTGAGGGCTGTCTTTAGTTATGCAATCGCTCTCCAGCGGGGCCCAATGTTCTCGTAGCCAGAACCTGTTCCCTTAATTCCCTATTTGGCGAGTATAGAAGCCATCAGACACGCAGGGCTTATTATTAAAAAGTCTTTCCCTTTGAGGGGATTCTGTAAAGGAACACTAAAACGTACAGAATTCCCAGACAAAAAAACAAAACACATCAGGGATAAAAAGGTTTCTGAAAATCCAATTATAGTTATTACTGTTATTTATTTACCTGTATGTTTACAGTAAAAACTGCTGTAGTGAAAATAATTTGAGTATCTATCCATCTCCCTCTCTCAAACCACATATGAATAAAACAATAGCTCACCATGAGCAGCAATCTCTTCTTTCAGACATGGAGATCATGTTCTTGTTGTAAAAATGAATGTTCCATTAGGATGTGAAATAAGCCCATTGTGTAAGATGCTTGTTTTATTTGTCTATTTTTGGTTGTGTGGGACACCAGTAAATCTGCTGCTGAGCTAATTTAATAATCACATTCATTTCTCAAAATGTCATTGTTGACTCATAGACACAACTAGAATAAATCTGTCATGTGTCAATGTACTGTTTGAGGGAGGAGTGTGACTTTTGCAATTCATTTGAGGATGCTTTTAACTAGAAAAATCTTTTTTTATTTTATACCCTCATTAAGGCTATTTTGAGATCTTCCCACAGTTCCCACTGGCTAAAACCTTTTCTAAAGATCTTGAGACTCTGACCATCCATCATTTCTGAGTATGGCGTATTAATGGAGCCTACAACACTGTAAGTGGTTTTTATTGTTCGAGAAATATTGTTTGACTTAGACACTCGTGATTGTGTGTACAAAAACAAGATGATTAGTGTTAGTACCGTGAGTAATGTGTCTACATCACATGGTGCAGAGTGCCTCTTTGGTTTCTGTGTATGGATTTCACAACATTTACTTCAGCTCTGATCTCATGCAGGATTATCTAACCATTGAGGAGCTTTGCGACGCTAACAGGGTGTGCAGGGCTGCGGAGATCTTCTTCTTAGGGACACCTAATCGAAAGTGACACAGGAGCAGCCCTGCAGATTTGATGTTAATCCACGTTGAAGTCAGAAACATTTCCAACGCTCTCGGGCGGTTCTTTCGTAGCGAAAAAGGGCACAATTGAAATTGTGCCACGACGGTCCCAAATTGTGCGATGTGAGACCTATTCCCATCATTTACTCACACCTTGGGTGAGGAGCAAGGAGTCAAAAACGCAGACAATGTTGCTCCCAAGTGATTTAATGTCACGCTTTGAGATCTGCCAGAACACACAACAGCTTGCATCTGGAGCTCAATTGATATAGAATACGAGCTGGTTCTCACAATACGCATGTTACAATGTGCACGCGTTTACGATTACGAAAGTTGTGTGCAAATTATGGAAAAAGAATGAATCTCAAACGCAATGAAACCTGTTTCTCAAAAGCAATATACTGTAGGTAGGAAGAAAGTTAAATGTGTATCTCAGTAAAATGTGGAGCAGAAAGATATTCAGCGATGTAAATCGAGGATGTAAACAACAGTGAATTCTTCAATTTCTTCCTCAACAGCGTGAATCCTGAATGTTTTCAACGACCCAATGAGGCCTCTGAACTTTGCAGGTGGTGTCGCTGCAGGACGTGCAGGTCTTTTGATGTCCGAGGGCAGCGGAGCTCTCTTTTGATTCTCCCTCTGCAGTGCAGCTCTATCGAATCAACCTGGCGAAGCTCCTCATTAGTCGCGTATCACTTCTGATCAGAGACAGACCCTCTGTTGATCAAACAGAGGCTTCACTCGAACGCCTGTACGTGTGCAGAACAAAGATTTTCTTTTGTTCTGCCGGGACAAATTACATCCTAAATGGTAGAACATTAGCAGTTCATAGTATTTTTTAAAAAGCGGATGAATGAGGAGGACAGAGGACGTGCAGCACACGCACTCCTTTAACTGTTAATTGGTTGTCGACTGGTAAGTACCCACTCATGGAGATATTTGAATAATTGGAAGTTGCACTCATATTTCATTTGTTTTTTGTAAGAATATACAGTAACTATATAATATATAGGATAATACATACAGCTCTTTAATTATCTTCTGGTACAGAGAAACGGACACCTGGACAAAATGTATAATGCAGTATCTGGACCAACATCCGAAAACTCTCTAAATGACATCGTCTTTAACGGGGGCCGCTTCACGTGTGTCGCAGACCGGAGATCATTGTTCTCGCAGCTTTGCAGCGTCCCTGCGGCCCGTCAGTGCGTTCAGTGGAATCAGCAACAATCAGCTTCTGGTCTGATTCTCATGATCTCGCTTTGTGCTCCCGTCGGGTCTCGTATCAGCTGACCGCATCAAGCGTTCAGAAAAGACATCTCGCGACAGCCCGTTTGGCCACAGAGCTGGGTTCGTGTCTGGAGCCATGGAAGCAGAATAATTATAGAGGAGATGGGATGGTGGTGGTGGTGGGAGTGGGGGGGGGGAGTTGGCTGCAAAGCCTGAGGTCACAGTTATGTAACAACACTAATGTCGCAAGATGACATAAGGCCCTCCCCAGCATCGCTGCTGCTTGATGCCTTTTCCCCTCACATTAGTTAAAATAATGACGTACAGCCGATCTGAAACGTGGATGTCAGATGCTTTAAAAATATGTGTCCAGTTGATTAAGGTGTAAGATGGTGTAGCACATTTCTGAATGATTGATGCACGTGAACATCGGCATGTGGGTTTATGCATTTATGTATCTTGTTACATTCGTTTGCGAGTTTAATTGATGTCGATCTCAGTAAAGAAAATAGCGACGAGACAGCGTCATTTATACACATTGGTTGGTAATGCCCACCATCCTTTGATTAACTAACGAGAGTGGAGCAGGCCGCGATGGCATCCACCTGTGAGATAAAGCTCCTGGCTGGCAGTATTTTCAGTATTGTTTTGAGAAATGAGTTGGATTGAGGCAATGCAATGGGATTGAGGTGTGACAGGAACTGAACACTGGACGTTGAGAGAAGGATTGAGGCTCTGGAGAGATTAGAAAGCCGTCATCCACCAAGCAACAACCATCATCCTCTCCCCTTTCATTTAATCCCCTGAATGTGCTCTGCTGACTCTGGGAAGCGCTCATCTAGAGATTATTTTGTGGAATAATGACTGGGAGACAATAGAGTGGCTGGGAAAGCTTGAATGAAATAAAGGAGGAGGTTGTCTGGAAATGATGAAGCGAGAATGATGACGGAGGATTTGCACATTTTCGTAGAAACAGAAGTGTGCTGTTTATTTTCCTGTCGTCCACTTTGCACTTAGAGTTGTTAAATTCCAAACACTTGATTTGAGAGCATCGTCATTACTCGCCGCTCTGCAAGTAAATCTGGTTTCTTTGTGAAAGCAGGCCGCTCTATTATCTGTACTTAATAGATTGTTTTCTACTCTACTGTCGCCTCGAAGGATCTTAAATTTCATGTGAATTACCTGCAATATGTAGATCTATCTTTACAATTGTTATATGTATCTTTTGGAGCTCTAAAGTTGTTTAACTTGAGCATGACTTAAGAGAAAAACAATGTTCTGTTTACTTTGGAATGCTTGGTTGACCAAGCATGAGCTTCTGCTGCCTGTCAGATGACATTTGTGTCCCAAAACTCACGGATCCATGCATGTCTGTATCCTGCTCTGTTTGTTCCTGTTACACAGTTCTAAAAACATGCTGAATAAACTCCGGATTGAATAAACAAAAAATATCCATTATTATGTTTTCAGTAAGGTTTTGGGGAATTTGAAAGACATTCTGTGATGATTATTATAGTTATGTGATGGCTATCAAATATATATGGCTGCACTGGTTTGGTTTCATATCATGACCTTTCAATCCCTCTAATTTTACATTTATCAGCAGAATTTGAAAAACGTTACGACCCCTTTCAGTTAAGTATTTAATGTTTCGAATAAATAATCTCCTTATTTAATAGATTATTGCCAACAGCAGACAGCTGTTGCTTAATACTTTATGCTGCCCCTACCTGACAGGATAACTATTCACATCCTTCATTGACTTTGTATGAAAGTTTCCTTCATGTTTCTGTCTGCTGGGAAACAAAGTCTAAAAGAGGGTAAAGAACCCCGAACGAGTCTCGTGAATGACTTTTTTACTTGATATACTTTTCAATGGGCATTGACTCTCAACACTTACTGCTGTTAATCTCTCAACAAAGTGAATAATTGAACAATTAACACCCCTTTAGTAAGCCATGATATGAGAACTAACACAAATGATATCACATAACAATGGGGAAAATTAAACAAATGCATACCTCACAACAAAATAGTAATTAGATCACTTGACTATCAAATAAATATACTGTTATTTTAATTTAAACCATATTTTATTATGACAGAGGAACAAAAACAGATAAATGTATAACACAAAAAGCCAACTGCAGTCTCTCTTGCAGGTCATGAGGGATGAATAACAATAACAATGCTGATAAGACAAAGAACATGTGACTGAAAAGAATGTGATATGAATACAATATTGAGACATTATTAAGTTAAAATACAAAATAATAATAACAATAGTAACAATAGTAATGATAATGGTGATAATAAGCATAATGATTATGCAAGAAAATTAGAAAAAAAGGACAAAAGGTAACGCTGCATAAAGAGCTCTTTTGGATGAATGAAGTTTCTGGAGCAAAGACATGAGACGCAAACTCGGAGGCCGTTTATCAGTGAGGTTAACTGCTATTATTCTCAATCCCTAATAACACAGAATCCAGTCAAACATTGCAGACTGATAGCACACCCAAAGACTGAATTACAGCGCATCATTCACACAAAAAAACACAATGTGATTCCATTAAAAACGGAATAGTGGGCTGAATGCCCAAAAGCATATGCAACTGTCTTCTAAGGTGCAGCAGTGAATAAGATATGACTCCCTAAAAGTGAGCTTACATTATCTAAGTCAAGCTATCATAATATATTTGTGCTATATAAAACATGTGATGAGCGACATGTACATTAAAACAGTCTTATGTGCAGGAAGAAACTATGTAGTGAGTACACATAGTGAATGGGTCTGCGGGGAGGACAAAGTGGTAAGAGACATTGTCCCAGGTTTGATTCCCACAGCAGCTACAAGTGTCCAATCCTTCAGCAAGACGTGCAAGCCGAACGTGGCCTCTCCCTCTCCTTCAAAACCAGCATTTGAATGTTGTCAAGAACAGTTTTCTCATGGACGGAAAATAAAAGTTGGGCGTGAACCTACAGACACGGAGGAGAAGACACTGAGGATGTTTTTTCTATCTTTCACTGAAAAAATAAGCTTTGCCTTGATACCACCTACAGAACTAAGTGTCCAAACATATACATTTTTCATTTTCACTGCAGTGAGTATAATACTTACAACCAAAGACTACTTTGATGGATGGATCATTACAATAGTTCTTCATTTCAGGCCATAATGCACGACGCCTCTTTGAAACATGTCTCACAGTGTTATTTGTCCCCTTTCCCATATATCACATATCTCATGAACAAAGAAAATACTGAATTCAATCATATGATGGTTAATATTAGAATTCTGAGCTGCAGGAAAACTTTGTTCGCCTGGCTCCAGAGCTTGTGTAACGAATGCTTGTCCATCAACCGTTAGCATCATTTCTCCGTAACATCCGTAGCGATGTCCGTCCTAAATGGTCTGTGCTGGAGGTTAAATGCACGGGCGGCTGCAGGATGCAGCACCGGGCTCTCCACGGGCCAGAAAGAAGAAAACATCGCTTCGGGGGGACCGAAGTTCCCCCTGATGTCCTCAGCTAACTCATCACCGCGGTAGAAGTGGCACCTCAGTGGGGGCTGGACGCTAAAGCATGAAATCCTCCAGGTTTAGATGGAGCTCCTGCGTTTATTGAGTCTTCTGTAGTTCATGCTGTGCAGACCGGTGGAAACCGAGCTGATGCCCGAGTTGCGTTGCATGCTGCACACGCAGCCGTTGGAGTGCAGCGGGTTTGAAAACGCCTCCCCCTGCTCCATGTAGGTGTCGGAGCTGGAGAAGTCGCGCGGGATGATCATGGGTATGGAGTACTGCAGCTTCTCCCTGCTCTTGTACCAAAGGCAGGAGCACATGGACTGGAAGTGGAGCACTTCGGCGTAAACGTTACGCAGACCTCGGCTAGCCGCCCCTCCCCCGCTGCCTCCGACCGCGCTCCCTCCTCCGCCGCAGCCGGACGCCGCGGAGGAGCAGGAGGCCTGGTCCGCGGAACAGCGGACGTGTCCCCCCGCCTGGCCGTTGTGACCGAGGAGAGCCCTCTGCTCGGCGTCGCGCTTCTCGTCCTCGGCGTTCATGGTCATGAACCGCAGCACGGCCAAGTTGAGGAAGGCCCCGATCACAGCCAGGCCCGTCAGGATGTAGATGAAGCTGAAGGCCACGTACTCCGGCTTGTTCTGCAGAGCTTGCTCGCTCTGCAGCGCCACGTAGTCCCCGAAGCCGATGGTGGTGAGCGTGATGAAGCAGTAGTAGTAAGCGTGAAAGAAGCTCCATCCCTCAAAGTGCGAGAAGGCCAGTGCCCCGACGCACAGCGTGCTCATGCAGGATATGAAGCCGATGATCACCATGTTGACCATGGAGACCTCGGTGCGCCTCATGCCGAGGCACTTCTTCAGGCGGTGGAGCAGGTACCTGACGAAGGTGTTGATCCTCTCACCGACGCTTTGGAACATGACCAAGGTGAGAGGGATGCCCAGGAGGGCATAGAGCATGCAGAACACCTTCCCGCCATCTGTGCTGGGGGCTGCATGGCCGTATCCTGGGGGAGAGAAGGAGGAAGGAGCAGGGTTACCAGGGCAGAACTGATTAAATCTGCAGAGCAGCGGACAAGGGTCGGAATAAGGAAAGCTGGAGGCGTGGAAAGTTGAACCCCGGGTAGACGGACACAAACGATTTGTATTCTTTGAGCACGACATCTTATAATTTGGGAGACTCTTCATTTCACAGGGCCCGGATACAATTGAAGATGAGAATGAACAGCAGCGTGGCGGGAATGGTGAAGTATTGATGTCTCGTATGGGAGAGAGGGCCTGAATAATTCATGCACAGTTATTCTCTGCAGAGTGACTTCAGCTAATGACTATACATTTGCACCCAATTAGGCCTCAATATTTTTCCAGATCAAAAACAAAAAGGACATTAAAGGATAGGTTGCAAGTATTGGATGCCCTTTTGTTTGTTTGATAAGATCCGTCTTTGTCCCGATTCTGTGGATTATAAGGAGCCGTGTGGCAGAGTAGAATGAGTCAGCAGTGTGGCCTGTGTGCGCTCCACTGAGTCAGACCCCAAAAACGACCTACAAATTCTGAGTTAGTTAAGCAACTTCATGGAGAACTTGCCAAAGTTTGAAGAAGGAGCTTTTCAGTTCCTCATTAAACCGTGACTGGCTAACAAACCATTCAATATATTAATATATCTAGTGTGCCGTCAGTGACTGAAATGGCCGGGTGGAGAATAATGTTGAGTGCTCCCCCGCCAGCCAATTTCCGACACGGAATGACTCACACTGACTGAGTGATCCTGCATGAACTCAAACTGCAGAGCTCATGAATTTCAGGATGCATTTGTGCTTCCTTCTGGCACATTTCAGGTTGACCGGCAACCTTTTGTCTCATGACGTCATTCTGCTGTCCGACGGGACACGTAATCCTTGCATGCGGGTCAGACATATTCCCCACAGGTGGACCTGTTGCCCACGGGAGCCGACAGGTGATGTCCCTGATAACAATGGGATGAGCAAATGGAAAAGGTTGACCAACAGTTTGAATGTAATTACTCCAAGGGTTGATTTAATTCTTTGGGCTCTGGTTTTATTGTCACACTGATCCACGCGGTTGAGCCATCTGTCTGCCTGGTTCGAAATCGGTTTAAAGCTGTCCCAGTCGGGCCACCAAATGAAGTCATTACAGCTGATGCGTGTCCTTATGGGAAGAAACAAACCTGAACCGAACAAAAAGACATCTTGCTTCTTACAAGCATTTCTCATTTTAACTTTCTGTTCGGATAACCGGTTGATTTATTGAAGACATTAGACCAATTAGACTGATTCTCTGATGATTTTTTACCAATCATCATCTAATTATTTATCTAACAACGACAAATTATTATTTAATACTAAACTAACCCTTGTCTTTTTCAAGTATTCATCATTTGCCAAATGTCAACCGTGTTAGATGCATCCATTGATTTGTTGCTTTTAGCAAGCAGGCCATTTATGCATTACATATAATTACTACAACGGGGAATTGATTTCTTCTAAATACGTATTGGTAGCATTCATTTAACCAAACGGTAACTGTGACCTTCATCCATTCACTGTAAAAATATTCTTTTTTACGGTAGTTTTTTAAAATTATATACAAAAACTGTAAATTACATTTAACTGTAAAGTCTAATTTACACAGTATTTTGCTGCTTTCTTAAATGACATACAAATTCAGTTAAAATAACAATAATTATCTGAAAATAAATAATATACATTTGTATATGTCAATTCTGACAATTTGTAATTTTAGGGTAAATCATACTGGTTTTATGTTAATGTGTACTTTTATGATCAAACTCTGTAATTCTGGATCTCAGCTAACATTTTTCGTCAATTTGACTGTTTTTGTTGACAGACATAAAACGCTTTGTCTTCGTCACGGTAGTTTAAGACGCCATTGAGTCTGTGACCTCTCAGCAGACAAGCCTTGAAGCATCATTTTTGTGTGTGTCATATCAAATTTATCATTTGGAGACTGAGACGTAGACGCACGTGCCTCTACTTGCAATTCTTTTTAATAAATTTCCTATTTAACAATCAAGCACGGTTTTATTAATATATTAAATTTGCCTGAGAAAAAATAGATATACATGTTTTTTTCACTGTACTTGTATAACGCTTTTCTTAAACACTTCATGTAACCATTCACCCACTGCTGACAGGCAGCATACACGGGACCACCTGCTCATCAGTAACTAACATCCACACACAGCAGTCCCAGCTACAGGAGCAAAGTGTCTTGCCCAAGGACACGTCGACCCGTCGGTCAGCAGGACCCGGGACCGACCCGCCAATCCTCCTGATTGGAGGACGGCCGTGTTCCCCACTCACCCACAGCCGCTAAACAACCGTTTAAAACGGTCACAGACAGCTGCTCCCTCTGTGAACCCTCCTATGTTGGACTGACATCAGATCCCGTCTCCCATCTCCTCCCGCTGCCTCCCCGCCCCCCCTCCCCCCAGTGACAAAGCTATCATGAGACAGGAGCGTCTCCGCGGCTCGTCCTGGCACGCAGGGCAGCGTCATCGGCTCTGTGAACACAGATCACACTCGCCCCTCGCAGAGGAAAAGTGCAGCCTCACCGCTCTGAGAGGTGAAAAGAACATCGACCAAAAGAGGTTTGATTAACATCTGGAGAGCCAAAGACTCTTGCAGCGGCTAAAGTGGAAGCATTTACACTCACGTGTGTGGGCGTTAAATATTTGCACGTATTTTGATGAATAGACTGGTAAAAAAAAAGAAAACCCACAGACGAGACATCTGGGAAATTACAGGCTTATAACGTTTTTCCTGAGGAAACATTCATTCCCTTCTAAATTTAGCTCCGTTTCTCAACTGGAAGAAATATTGCAACATATTAAAGCAGGATTAAAGACTTTGCCTCAACCCGAGGCTGATCGTCTCATAACCCGATTTCTGTAATTATCATGTGAAAGGAGATATCATGATATGGAAATTGAAAGGCGTTGAGAGCTTTAAAGATCTAGTTGGCAAAACGGACAAACAGGCGATGCTCAGGCTTCTACATGTCAGCGGGACGCAGGTGCACCTTTAAACTCTAATTCCCTCCTCTTATTACAGCGCCATCATTTACAGCAAATCCCTCAGGTTAAGGCCTCCAGCAACAGACTATATTAAATTCTTCCAGACAAATCATTTCACACAGAGCAGACATGTTCCCGTGCGATAGCTTTGTCATTCTAAAACACTCCTAATACAATCAGAAAAATACACAGTCAAAGTCTTAATACTTCCATTTTCCCTCTAATTTCATGGTTTGGAATTTTCTAAACAATTTCAGCGGACTTAATCACGGATGTGCGTCATTCAACTTCATTCAGATTTTCCAATTAAATGTTATCTTCCAACACTGCTCTTCTGCAGCAGTGGAAATAATATAATTGGGGTTTGCTGTTGTTTCACCTTTTGCCGAAGCCATCGTTAGTTGCCTGAAGAGATGACGGCTCAGTGTCTAAAACACAGCATCGCCCGCTTCCCCCCAAAGTCTGGGTTATTCTGACGAAGGGGACGGGCTTTGAAAATGCACCACACAGCGGCTTAATTGGCGAGTCAGGTGCTCCGGCTCTCTGTCACTCAATTACATTTACATCGATTACCAAGGGGCCAATATGTTCTCGCCAACGGGACGAGGGAAACACACCATTCATCAAGCACATCGCCTCAGCTAATGGTTGCGGGATGCTGAAGGAGGCGGCGCATCCAACAGGGCTAGTTTATCAGGAATGTGTTACAGGGGAGAGAAGCTTGTTGGAACCCGTGTGTGAGTAATGACAGGAAACAACAGGATACGAACAAAAAAGACACGCGCACAAATCTCGAGAGGCTTAACAAATCTGTAGTACAAATGACATCAAACAGAAAGTCCGGCGGGAGGAGAATTAAGGATGAAGACTGCTGGTGGCGGCGTCGCTCTCTGTGACTGATAATGTCCTCAGACATCTCTGCACTCTGGAGACAAACCACAAGTATGAGACACCAAGCAGTGTGTGTGTCTGTGTGTGGATACAGAATGTTTCCACGATTAACAGACGCAGCAATCGTAAACCACACGGCGTCTTGAGTGTGAAAAACGTCATTGATTTCCGTCATTTCCGTCAACGGCAAAACCAACCACCAAATGTTTAGCATACATGCTTCAAATTTGAAACCTTCCACGTCAGCAGATATTTAGAAAGCACTATTGACGCCGAGGGCCTCTGGCGAGAAGGACGCGGCCCTCGTATCACTGCAGTGGTCAGTAAACAAATTCCTCCCGCGTCGCCCGTGTGCGCTCAGAGGCGTCATGAGGAATCTAAATACTCTCTGCCCTACATGGCCACGTTCTCGAATCTCCCGCGCACAGGTGGCCCGAGCGCAGCAGTTCCCGCCGCGGCGGCACTTTGGTCGGCGCGCGCGCCGCCCGGGGGGGGGGAAACCTGCAAAAAGCTGAGTATGATCCTTTATTTCCCACGAATTGTGTCCAAGCTCCGTCTACAACGTGAACCCTCGTCACCTCCCCCGTCCCCCCCCCCCGCCTCAAACTCCAGACGACCTCTCGGTTGTTTATTCAGGCACTCAAACACAAACTCCAGTCCTCCCGCCTCCGTCCATTACTCCCCGCGCAGCTTTTTGACCCCCGCGGGGTCGTGGCTGACAGCTGCTGTGTAATGTCTGTGAGAACTCGAGGAATATGCTTTATTGTGAAAGCATCAATAATATTTAAAGTCAACGATTGCAATTAGGAGTCGTGGAAAAAAAGAGACATAGTTGCCATAATTGTTTACAGTGGATTATAAAGAGACCTTTTAGGATTTTTCAATCATTCACATGCGGCAAAGGCCCAAAGATGAATAGTAAGAAGGACTCATGAATTACAAAACTGGTTGTCGGCCCCTTATAAGCCCCTGCTAATCTTTCTGTTCTGATCCGTCATTTCTATATTTTAGGTTTGGTTAAGTTTATACAAATAAAACCCATTGCCTAGAGTTAGGGAA